AACTGGCTGATAACTCCCGGATCTCCTTTGTGGGGGCATTCTCGGAATGTGTGGCCTATCTTTTGGCATCCCCAACAATGGATCGAGGATGTTTTGTCACTTTCTTCTTCGATGTTGAATGCTTCTTCAGCGGCACTCATGCATGCTAGCATTGTTAGGGCAGCTTGTGGGCAGTATAGTTTGCTGTCTGATGTCGGGACCAACAATTGTCTTCCTTGTCCGTCGGTGACTCGAACATTTCGCTCTGGTGCTGGAGGGGTTGTCAATGCGGTGTGGAAGGTTCCATCGGTCGCAATCTTTGGAGTTTGGAAGGAGCAGTTGTCTTGGAATTCTTGGAATCCTTGTTGGTGGAATCCCGCAAAAGCTCTTCCTCCTGGTCTTGTTGGTGCAGATGGTCCTGGAACGCAGCTTCTGTTTGGTCTGACTAGTCCCGCGCTGTTTGCAATTCCCACGAGTTGCTTGATGCGCTTCTCTTCTTTCTCTGCTCGTTCGCGTAGGCGGTGCATTCGAGACAGGTTGCTGGGGTAGTCCATAAGTAGTGGTCCTGCTGCTCCCGTCTCTAGGTGTTCAGCCACAACGTCCTTGATTTCTTGTGTGAAGGCTTGGAACGCTACTCCTGCCAAGTCTGATAGGTTGGTTGGCGGGGGATTCTCGTGGTTGAACCCGTTTAGAATCGTGGCGATTCTGCCAAATAAAGTAGCCACGCTGTCGTACATCATCGTGCCTCCTTCGTATCGGATCATGTTGAGCTTTGCCAGTTGTTGGTTTGGCGTCTCCATTCCTTGTTGTAGTCCGACGTAGGTGGCCATGAGTGCTTGTTCTAGCGCTTGGAATTGGGTCTTTGCAATCTGTTGCTTGGACCACTTTTCGTAGGCTTCGTTATCCGGTTCTCCGTCTCTGGTTGCGGCCCTCATCGAGAACTCTTCTCCCAATGCTGCCATTGCTGCGATGATTTCCTTGTGATGTGCTTGGTCCATTATCATTTGGCGAGTGATGGATACATCCATCTGGTTCTGGACTCTTGGCACTGGAACATAGACAGCTCTATTGGAAGATGGCGGGAACTTTGTTGGGTTGATTCCAATGTCAGTTCGTAGGGAACAGAGCCGTGGGACCAATCGGAGCTCGATTCTGAAGTATGTGGCGGCGGCTCTAAATGGGGCTGGAAGTCCTGGTCCCGGTCCTGTAGCGATCGCTTGTCCTGTGTTGTCGATGACGTGTAGGCTTGCGAATTCGTACACGTCACTAGTCACGTCGAACAATTCGCTGGTGGCGGCGTTGACGCGCGAGCGAACGTCTGGGCATACTGATGTGTAGCGCTTCATCAAGAAATCCACCTTGTGTTCCATTGTTGTCTTTGTCTGCTTGATGGAGTTCACAGACTGTTGTAGGATCGCTTGCTTGATTTCCGGAGACTCAGTAGTTGGAGCCAGGACGGCAGTATCGATGGTATACTGGTTGTAGGTGATGGTTTCGTCCACGTGGCTTCCGTTGACCCAATACGATTTCTCGTTGATGCGATCGCTTCTTTTTTCATTTTTTTCATATTTGTGATGCGACGCGGCAGTCATCGCGGCGAACGCTGCATTCTCCATATTGACAGGACTTGCTGACATCATAGCGAACGCGTTGCGCTGGAAATGGTCAGGGTTGAACTGTCCTCCCCATGTGTTAGATGATCGTGTGAACAAACTTGGTGGCTCTGACTGCGAATCAATTGCGTTTGGGCTTCGAATCTCGGGCTGGCTTCCACTTAACGTGACAACGTTGTGGTCCTGGCTCTCCTCGTAGAGAGAGCGTACTAGTGCGTTGATGTAGCTACTGTTGGACATGATAGACGGTGATTGATATTGCTAATGGGGTGTATTTACGGGGGTCTGAAGCAGCTGTGAGTAGATGATAGATGATTGATCTTGGGCTTGAGATTGGCGACGACCGTTGGCCTTCGATCGCTCTAATATATCTGCTCGGGACTCGGCAGTCCAGTCAGTCACGTTACGTATTGCTATGCTGCTGTCTCGCTGCTCTACCTAACTAGCGGCAGTAAGATCAACATGTTCTCGCAACGCGTGCTAGCTGAAGCCAGAACCTGATCCCTGTGACCCCGATATCCCAAATATCAGTTTTAGTAAGCCGAACGAAGTTCAATTACTGGTGATATGGTGGATCCCATAACAAGGGCAGTTTGCTGAGAAGCCTTGTGCGGCACAAGTTTCTTCATGTCTTGAAAAGATTCAATGCTGGTGGAAGAAATGGAACGCATGCTCTCTTCCACCATGAGAGCCATTCTTCGGTTGGCCTTCTTGGCCTCACGTTTGTCTGACTTGGCCATGGCCAAGGCGAGTGCCTTGGATTGTTCCGAGCACTCGATGGATACTCGGGCAAGGGCTTCCCAGTCGACGATATTCTCGGTCCATTGTCTGTGTTGTTCCAGAAGGACTGCGTCGACACAAGCTTCAATGGTGTATTGGAGTTCCAAGGCATCGCACTGATCGAAGGTTTCCAAGCCACGGTAGGAAGAATTCTTCTTGGGCTTCTTTCCAGATTGTCTTCTTTCGACAGTCTTGATGTACTTCACCATGAGCTTTGCTCGTTCTTGATGAGTGTACCATGAGGCAATTGCCTCGTCGGCAGTGATTTCAGATCGTGAAATGGTGGCCTTGCATTCCACTTGCTCTGAGAAATGGACGTGAGTCGTTCTGGTTGTTTCTTCGAAGGACGAGGTATAGCCGTCATATGTGCATTCATCATTCAAGTTGTCAGAGTATTCCGTGTACTCGCTGCACATTGAGGCTTCAATATTGGGTTGTGTCATGAAGATGACGAAGATATAATGACAATTTTTGGGATTTGTGAGAAGACAAAAACGGAAGACGATCCGTTTTCAGTTTGTGTAATAATCGGTGGGTCGAGAGACATGTTCAATGTTTCTCCGAGTTTTCGCTCTGTTCGCGTTGACATTCGAAACATTATCTGGCAATCGCTTTCAACAGCTGTCTTCTTGCTGTATATTATATATACCTATAAGATAAAAAGTTTCCACGAAGCGTTCAATTAAAGAAAGTGAACATTGCAACCTCCCCTTCATGACGGGTTCAACCTATAAAACAAGTTGTAGTGCTGGAAGTTTTACAAACTGTATGCAGGTATGAAGTGAACACTTAAGTACAAAAAAATTAAGCTCAAAAGTCTAGAATTTTGGTGCAGATTGCAGTAAGCTTTCAATATTTCTAAAAATGGGCGAAGAATTGTTAAAAATTAAGGATGATAACATGACATATGACATTGAATGTTAGAGATAAGTACATTTCATTGTTTGTGGCTCAAGTTTTCGCAAGAATTAATTGGTACGACGTGCGTGGTGGTGACGCAGAACTCAGATGTGGTGACGAAGAATTCAGCACAGGCAGGCCAATTTACTTGCCAAGCTGGCTGGCGCCACAAGAGAATCTAGCTTAGTACTACCGGTACCTCATGCGAATGAGAAACGTATGAAATAGTCGGATCAATCAAAGCAAACAAGATTTCACACAGTATGAGTATGACTGCGATGCATGTACCGTACTGGTACCTGGTACAGTACCTTGTACCAGTACTGTACGTACCAGGAACCCAATCAAATGCGACTGCCCTCCAGCACCGAAACAAACTACCGGCTCCCCTTTCATGCTGATGCCTCGTATTGCCCGTTAACCAGTTGGGCCACACTCAATGTGAAGGGGGAATTCCATTGTTACTGTACTGTGGGTAGTATTTTATTCAAATGGAAATCTATCTTAGTACAAAGGTTATGACTACAAAACTTGGAGAAAATCGACGGGTCAAACCGCGACTTCGGCGGAA